AAAAAGTTGAAAAAAAAGGGGGGGGGGGGGGGGATTTCAGTTTCAGGCCGAGATTTGTTTTGCATTTCAGTTTTAAATGTTTCCATTTAATGCACCCTCTGCTCACCATAGTAACCTTTCTCTTTCAAACTCTCACTCCTTCAGCCCTCGTCTCCTCCCCACTACATATACATGTCACTCTCATCCTTTTACTGGACCTATTGCCTCCTGTTTTTCCTCTGCTCCCAAGGACCGGTCCCCTCAGGAATGGCCACTCAGTCTGTAACAAGCTCACCACTATCCACAACCTTTGTACCTCAAACCCCCTTTAACTACTAACTGAAAGCTGGCTCCGAGATTCAGACTCTGTCTCACCATCTACCCTTTCACATGGGGACCCCCCCCCCACCCCTCCACTGGACAACATGGAGGTGGAGTTGGATTCCTTCTATCCCCACAAATCAATTTTGCCACTTCTCACTCTCATCCTGTATGGGCACACTGCCCCCACTCACAGAATTGGGCCTGTACCCATAAAACATCACCAAGCAGAGAACACTAGAAGTCGCCAAAGTCATGTAGTCATACTCCTGAGCAACTATAACAAATCTGAAGGCCTGCAAGACTTCTTCACCCTATACAAATCTGCTCACAAAAAATACAGGACCCGCCTATGTGCTGCCAAACACACTCATCCACACCCACTCCTCATCAACTCTTCTACCTTTATCTCCCTACTTTGTCCCCACCACCTTCTCCATCACCTCACTCACTGCCCAGGAGATCACCAATCATTTCTAAAGCAAGGTCGATGCAATTCATTACCAAGTCTCCACTGTCCAGACATCTACCGTCACATTCAATATTTTCTTCTTTTGACCCTGTAACCACAACATTGCTACATTTCTGTCCCACACCACCTAACCAACTGCTCCCTGGGCCCCCGACCACTCCAGCTCGATTCTACACAGCCTTCCTCGCATCTGGAATCCCTCCTTTTCTAATGGTATCTTCCCACCCCTACTAAAAACATCCGCAATGGACCCCTCCAGTCTGAGCAACTCAAGACCCATCTCCTTGCCTCCAAACTTCTAGAACAACTCACTATTAACAACCTTCTTTATCTTTCATTTACAACACTCCACAGAACCTGCCCTGCTACCTTTACAAACTGCTCAAACCAACAGCTCCTACTCCATACTCGTACGGACAGACCCTTCTGCTGCCGGGACACAGTTGAGCACTCGCTTCACCTAAAAAAAAAAAAGACAGAATTCCACTTCCTTGCCCTCCAAGATTGTGCTCTGCAATGTTTCATCTACCTCGGTACGCTTTCAGTGTCACCACTGCTCCATCTCCTATTCTTTCCATGGGGGGTGGGGGTTCTCCCATTCCCCCCAATGCCCTTACCATTCTCTATCTACACCTCCTCCCTGGGTAAGTTCATCTCTCAAAGCTTCCAAAACCATCTCTATGCTGATGACACACAAATGCATCTCTCTGCTCCTTAGCTCACACATCACTCATCTATTCACTGACATATACACATGGATGTCACACCACTTCCTCAAACTCAACCTGTTCATATGGCCCCATTGACACCTAAGCCTACCGCAAAGACGCATCATGTTCGTTCATGCATCCCGTCACATGTGCAACAAATGTGGGAAAGTAGCTCATGTAGCAAATACTGCTACAGGCATCCCTTGGTTTCTTGTTGCATGCGTCGCCCCATTACCCCCCTCCCCTCCCCTCATCCACGTTTGGCCTTCCATTAACAAATAATGGCACTGCAAGCATGTTTTTATGTTTTTGACACGTTCTATTAATATGTTCACAGAACACCAGGGTGTGAACACGGTCCAACTGAGCTCATAATATTTCCTGTCCTTTGTATCCCCTCCCTTGACTTCTCCATCACAATCGGACCAGGGTGCTCCGTGTAATGCTTGATTCGGACCTCTCCTTTCAGCCCCACGTCCAAGCACTATCCAAATCTTTCCAACATTTTTGCTCCTTCTTAACAAATTAAACCACAAAGCTTCTCATTCACCCTTTGTTATCCTGCAACTCCCTCCTCGTTGGCCTACCACTCAACCAATTGTCCCCTCTACGGGCTATCATGAATGCTGCTACCAGACTCATCCATCTTACAAGTGTTCAGTGGTCGCCGCTCTCTGCCATTCCCTCCAGTGGCTGCCACTTGCCCAACAAATAAAATAGGGAATACTAACAATAACATGCAAAGCCATCCACAACTCTGCCCCAACCTACATCACCCGCCTCATCTCCAAATGTCACCCAAACTCCGCTGCTCTCCAGCTCACTCGCCACCTCCTCCTCCCATGTTCATCTCTGGAACCTGATCTCCTATTTTGACCACCTTTAGGCCATTCTTGATAACGCTTCAGGGAAGCCTCTCCCACCACCACATACACCACATTTTTACATCTTGCAGCACCTCATCTCTCCCAATGAGTGCCTTTTGTATTGCTTACCCCTCCTACTAGATTGTAAGCTCTCATGACCAGGGTGCTGCTGTATTGAAACTGTGCAGCGCTTCATAAAAGAGAAGAAGACGGTACAAAGTGTATAATAAGAATGAGTACAGCCTGTCCCGTGTAAAGCGTGGATGTGTCACGGTGTTAGTATGTAGAATATGAAAGACCTGGGAACTTACATGCTGGAGGCAGAGGTCAGCGCTTCTCTCCCTGGAGCGGCTGTGCGCACACAGATCTACATGAAGGAGAAGAGGAGGACAGCTCAGCGCTGCAAGTATTTCCTGTATCAGGTGTGTACAAATGAAATGCAAATGTTGTTCCTTTTTTGGGGGGGATACAAATGGTGAATATCAGTAGGCAAAGAGTCTTTTATCAGAATGTCTGGAATAAATACCTCTCGGGACCCAACTGCTTAGAATGGAAAAGGAAAGTCTGAATCGGAGTGGTTGCAGTTGGGTAACGCAGTCGGTTCTTATTACAAACACTTTGATAAATGCAGCCTAGTACTACAGGAGGAAAGGAAATAGAAAATGATAGCTGTCGGCTAATTGCTTTGGCTTGTACAGTCCTAACTGCTCGTAGGAACTGATCACAGCGGCCGGCTCCGGGTCACAGGAACTTCCTCCAGTTTTTGGATGTTAATTGCACTTGAAAGCGCGCAGACAAAAATGATGGCGTAAGCTGGAACCTCACCTGTAGGTGGCACCATTGAGCTCCACATTTGTCCCTGCTTGCTCTATTGTAGCCCACTGAGTCGTTGCAGACAAGAATTCTTTATTCACACAGTTTCGGAGACTATCAGGAATGCGACCTGTTGAGAAATGAAGTCGCACAATGTTACAGCAGCAGCCGCCGCCGCCACCATGGAGCGGGTTTTATAGCTACAGTCTGTGGCCGTTCTACTGGCTTCATCAGTACTGCTGCCTGTGTCTGTCCCTTGTTCTTACCCTGCGCGATGACAGATCGGAACGGTTGCCTGAACTTTATAAGCGGCTCAATTACTGCAAGTTCAGAGTTACAGGAATTTGTATATATTTAGTTATAACAGTGTATAACAGTACAACGCATTCACATCAACAAACATTACAATAGTAAGAGAGCCAGGAGTGCAGAAGATAAAGAGAAGAACATTCCTGCATGTTATTACAGTCAGGATATAGCCCAGTTCACCAAAAAAGAGGATTGGAATGGGAAAGACCTACCGGGGGGAGTAGTAAGAAGGATGATCAGGATAGTATGTGGTGGGATTTGGAGTTTCAGCACAGTTGGAGTGCTGAGGTTGCCTGCCATGAATGACGGCATAAAATTAGAAGGCCTCATACGTATACTAACTTGTTCACGGTTAGTGGCTCAAACAAGAAGCAGAGTGTGGCAGTCAGGCAATTAGCATTTTCAGAATGTAGAAACAGCAGCGGCAGCCAGCTGCCATAGCATGGAATGAAGCCTAGGTTAGAAATATTGGTGATACAGAAGCAACCGGAAATTCACATGTCTAACTAATGCGCAGAAATCGGAAGACAGACGAATCGTACCCCGTCCTCAGCCGCTATGTGAGGGATATTGACGAGCTGATGTCAGAGTAATACACATATACATGAATGTGGCGTTGGCAGGAGCAAACACTCTGCGTCCTGTCACGGGAGGAAGGCTCTGTATAATTTCAGCTTGTCCGGGTGACCTCCCCCCAGAGCTGCACACAGATGTTTCTTGCAATTAGGATTATCATTCCATAGGTGAAGAATGTACAGATTATCACCACAGATCACCAATACGCTCCAATGTATTACATTGAGCAACGTAATATTAAATATCTACTTTGGAGGGATTTCCAGCGAGGACAGGAAAGAAGTTTGGTGATTTAATGATTGTGACAATTAGTACTTTAGTATTGTCGTGTCCCCCCGAAGGGAGCAGCACCATGGCCAGGAAATATCATGGCAAGTCACCAACGGTACAGGCTCGCTATGCAGGGCAGAGAGGAAACATTCACCTGTTTATATGTCGTCGCCCCTTCCTCGTCCGACGAGGGCCGGCTCATTGATAAACCTCACCAGTGAATGAGCGACAGCAAGAGTGCAACACATGAAAAGAAGTGCACACACCTTTCCCCTGCATAGTTATCCTGTCACTGGTGTGCCGTGACCCCAACCGAAGCACATACGTCACTTCATCTATTCTTGGATGCGATATGGAAAACAAACACACGCTCTAAGTGTCACACTGGGTTGTGCGACCCCCTTTAAGATTACACACACACACGGTAGTGAATAGAAAGGCCAACTGAAACTCTATTCATATTATACAGTCAGTCAGTTAGACCCTCACACTTCATATTGACTTAAAAAGAACGATGGGCCAACCTTTTTTGGCCTTAGTCACCTGCGGGCTATTACCCGCTATATGCTGACAGAGCAGAGTGGCGCTGCAGCCAAGATAGATATTGTCGGGATCCATCCCGCTGGGTGATTGACAGCTGACTCAGCCTATCTAGAGGCAGAGCCAGCTGTGCCCGCCCCCCTCCCCCGCCCATTCCTCCAGTCAGTGCCGGAGGAACGGAGAGGGAAGGGGGGAATCCCTGCGGGGAGTGGTCAGTCACTAGTCTGCATGGAGAATATCGGGAAGTCAGTGATAGGCAGTAGGTCATCACTCAGTCGTCGCTCGATAGAACCAACGTGTGACGGCTTCAGTGTCATTATGGGGATGAGAGTATTGCACTTTTCCCCACAATACTCCTTTAAGCTACAAAGGCTTTCAGCATCTGCGGTCAGCTTTAGCGCTCCCTGAGGACTCGGAAATAAATGTAAAGAATACAGTCCTCTGCACACCGTGACATATTAGTACAGTGTGTCCGGCACCTACCTGTGATTGCTCTTCTTATCTCAGTGGCTGCCGCTTCTCTCATCTCCAGGGAGGCCTGCTCGCTGTACCAAGCTGTATGGGGGGTGCAGATCAGATTAGGGACATCTTTCAAAGGACCCTGAGCGTATCTGCAAGGCATGACCACAGAAAGTCAATCATTCTGATCTCCTTACAGCAGAAAGCATTGTACAGTACTTAACCGCCAGAAACCAACACAACTAAAAGATTTGGAAACTGAACTTTGTGGTCAGTAAAAGATGAATGGAAATGCTAGCTTCCTGGCTGGGCCTGGCTTTGGTACATTGTGAGGCGGCAGCACGGATCGTAAATGGAGCAAATGAAGTCAGAACTGGTTTGCATGCGTGTTCTACATCAGTGATTCCATATTACTCTCAGTGCGTGTTCCTGAAATGTATGCGTGTTAGAGACGGGGAGAGGCTCCACGGGGTAACGGGTAAATGATCTCCTTGGCAGGGTGATGAAACCTAGACCTGCCTGCCGCCATGACAAGTGGCAGCCCATCTTCCTGTCCCGCCCTGAGGCTCCCTTCACGCCACTGAATTTGAGGTGCAATGTGTCCAAAAAATCCAAACCAGCTTGCTGCATCTTTGATGCTCTTTCATCATCGTGAATGCTATATACAGTCGAGTCCAATGATTATGCATGTCAAATGCACCGCAGATGTCAGGCCAATGTCATATTGTAATTGGTGGTTCAGTTTAGCTGAACGCACCAAAACGCATGCAAATGCCCTGGAACGCACTGAAAGCCCATTTTAGGCTACAAATATATATATTTTAAAAAATAAATAAACGGCCCGGAACGCGGCAAAACACACTGCACTGCATGTGCGGCAACTCGTGCAGATTTGGTGTGAACAAGCCCTCAGAGGTGCAGTATTTGCACGGAACACTTCATTTGAAAAGCATATTTTAGGGGTGACTCCCCGATTACTCACATAAAAGGTTCGGACTCGTGTACATCTAGAGCTGCTCCTCTGACTCTGCCCTCCTTCAGAGCTTGAGCCAAAGCCTTTTCATCCACCAGACCCCCGCGTGCCGTGTTCACCAGGAAGGCTCCTTGTCTCATCTGGAGAAAGAGAAAAAAGATCATATATGAATTTTCTCTAAGACACTCCGCAGACGTGTGATACAGACATGCAATATCAGCTGCACGGCACAATCCCGTAACACATCAGCCCTCAGATGAAAAACGCATCGTCCATTCACACCAGTGTGCTGCAGTAACGCATTGTAACATTTTTATTTTTACTGCACAATCCTGCAACACATGCAAACACATCAAGCACAGTGTTATGTGCTGCGGTGGCATTCACTTTGAATGACACCCCTATGCACCGCACTGGGATTGTGTTATAGCAAACCACAACACAGATGTGAATCATGTGTGGATTACAAAAATGACAAGTCACATTTCAATCTTTCTGAGCTTTAGCAGCCCCTTCCCAATGAAGCTGCTGAACACAATGCATGTTAACACCAGAGCACACCAGTGTGCGTTGCCGCAGCACAGTGATGTGAATGGCCAGTATAAAATGAGGGCATAGTCACACAGGCAGCATAAGCATGGATGTACAATACACACATTAGGTACCGTGCAGCCACCTTCATTGCTACTCTGATAATCAGTCATCAACAATCTGGATTCTCCAAGCCAACGGACGGCCGTACATCGGTGGCTTCGCGTGGCTTCGGGTCGGCCGAACATGCTCGAACATCTGGATCGGCCGACCCGAAGTGCAGAAGGAGTTCCACTCAGCCGATCGAACATCTGGATCGGCTAAGCCGAACCTCCAGCAGGTTACTCTCTGCTGTTCGGCCTATTCTTATAGATCCCGAACAGCAGTGAGTGAATAGCCGAATTCACTCACTGCTCGGCTGTTCTGCTCGGTCCCTCTGTGGTACCGAGCAGAACAGAAAAATAGTACAAAAAGTACAAAAAAATAAATAGAAACGATTGTGCGGAGCTAGCAGTGACAGCTAGCTCCGCCCAACTGTTTTCTATTGGCCGGCGGTTCTGCTGCCATCAAAAAAAGAAGAGAAAAAAAACATTTTCGCCATAGGAATGCATTGCTAGATTCCTATTGGCTATTTCAATTTGCAATAGCCAACTAGCTATTGCACCCGCCCACTGCTGCTGTCAATCACTAGTGGGGACCTGATGGAGAACTGCAGCAGTGGGCGGGTGCTATAGCTAGTTTGCTATTGGCTATTGCAAATTGAAATAGCCAATAGGAATCTAGCAAGGCATTCCTATGGTGAAAATTTATTTTATTTTTTATTCTGACACCAGACAACGGCTCCGTGTCAGAATAAAAAAGAAAAAGCAGTGTTTCTCTCCTTGGCGGCCGGGAGCGGGACACTCCCGGAGCGCCCGGGAGAGTTAGGCTGTCTGGAGATCAGTGTCCCTGGTTAGCTGGTAACCAGGGACTCTGATCTCTCTGAAAGATCACGGCTGGCTCCGCCCAGCTGTCAGAAGCAGGCTCGAGAAGCATAAGCATTATAGCATATGAGCCGGCCGGTCGACTTCGGGAGCTGTACGGGCTATAGTGAATAGCCCGTACAGCAGCCTTTCGGTTCTACTGGGGCCGAAGTTAGCCGAAGGATCGGCCAAAGCTACGGCCAGATCCTTCGGCTGCTTCGTGAATAGACCCGACAGTTTGTTTGCACATGCAGTAACAAGCCTTGAATTTGCATTATTGCCTGCAATCTCACATGCTTACAACCGTTGCTCATTTGTATGCTCATTAACATGGGAAGTTTTATTGGTCACGTGTATAGATGAGGCTTTGGAGAGGACAATAATTGACCATTGTGCTGAAACCTCCACTGTGTGTTACCACACTTCAGGCTGGCAACCTGAACAGCCTAAACAGTTTGTAGAAACTGCACAGGAATTTACCACTTCCTGCGGGTTCATGTAATTGTACGTCCTCCGCTGGATGTGGTTACAGCAAGAACGTGGCTGCTGCAGCCATGTCCTTGGTACCGTTTTAAACAGCAGACGATTGCTGTTTAAATACAAGTGATCTGACCAGGCTCATCTGTCCCTCCTGTGAGCCTGGGACCGGCGTGGAGGGTCTCCCCTGATGATCAGAAGAGAGACCAGCGGCTTCCAGCCGCTCATCTCTCCTCCAATCACTGGGCCCGGAAGTGATGTGCATTACATCACTTCCGGTGTCACTACACAGTCTCCGGCTCTTGGTGCCAGAAGAAGAAGCTGATGAAGCAGATCTCTTGTTAGCCCCCTATGCAATAGCAATAAAACGGAGTGTTAAACAAAAATGTCAAAATGTAAGTAACATTCAAAAAAATAAAAATGCTAAACAAAATTTTTTGTCAATCCCCCACGTGCACGCACATGCAGCGCAAACACGCGTCGGATGTGCCTACGTGCAAAAACAAAAATTGCGCCATAAATATTATATATCATCGTGAGCGTCCAAGTGAGAGTAATAATTCTAGGCCCATCAATCACTGTTAGCGCTAAACTGATGAGCCGTAAAAGCGCTTAAAGCAATGCCTATGAGACATTTTTTGTTATTGTAGTTTTTGGGGGTTTCACGGACGCACGCAATTTTAAGGCTTGACGTGCTTGGTATCTATTTACCCGGCGTGACCCCATCTTATATTTTACAACAAAATTGGCCATTATATTCTGTTTCTGTGCACTAAATTTTATTTTAGTGCACGTTATCCTAAAAATACTTGTTTGATAAACATTTGCGCAAATACCGTGCTACATACAAAAATTGCAACTAGCATCTTTTTATTCCACGGGGCCTCTGCTTTCAGAAAATGTATCATTGTTTGGGGGTCTGAGGCGGTTTTCTAGCGAAATATTCTGATTTGATCATGTGTGTGCAAATGTAAGAAATTGCTCCGGGCAGCAAGTGGCTTAATGGACGCGATGTACTGTAAAGTGACAGAACAGCCAAGGATGAAGCCAGATCTAATGGCTTTGTTTGGATGTTCCGGGGTACTTTATCTTGCAAGTCATCAGTTTGGGATGGAGTCATGGGTCGGTATTGCTTGGCCTGTATGCACATAATAGGTGTGTCTTTAGTGAGCATTGTTAGAGAGGCTCATGGAAGAAACCCCAAACACGACAAGAAAGGAGGCTGCTCTTGTACCAGTTTTTGGATGTACAATGAAAACACATAATAATCTTGTTACCTGTTTGATTGTGAAGTCATTAATGAGGTGATGGTTATGTTCATTCAGGTTACAGTGCAGGGACACACAGTCGCTTTGGTAAAGCAAGTCCTGTAGTGTGTACACCCTCTGCACCCCCAGAGCGCGCTCGGTCCCATCTTGCAGGTACGGATCGTAGAAGATAACACTGAAGCCGAACACTTTGGCTCGCACCGCTACGGCCTGCCCAACACGGCCTGTGGGGAGAGAATAACATCAGATGGTGAAACGTGACGTGATATACAACTTCCAAAACTGCAAATGGAGCAACAGAACAAATCAAAACTTCTCCTACAATGAGCTGCACACCCCAATCCCACAAAGTCAAATCATGTCATCGTTATTATTGAATTAAAAACCCCAACCCATTAAATATATCCAATCCCTCAATAAATCACTTTTGTTGGCACTAAGGTATGTGTACAATCTGTTCAATGAAATTCACACACCTGGGTTATGCTTCAGTCCAGATAATAATAATAATACATTCCACAAATTCATGACAGTGTATGTCACGGCCAAAACCCTTTTTTACCCCCTAGTATTGGATGGAGTGGAGAAGGGTTACGACCTCTGCCAGATTTGTAAGGCTCCATTACAGAAATTTCCCTCCCCTCACTTCCTGTCCGGGCTGATAATGTTTTACCAGACAGGAAGTGAGGGGAACTCTTCAACAGCAACACTTTACGAAAATAAAAATGCTTTGCTTTAGAAGAGATGGGGAAGGCGAGACCCCTTGTCAGATTTCAGCTTCTGTATGTGTCCCTGTTGTAGATTTGTCCTCACTTCTTGTCTGATGAAAGTATTGTTAGCAGGAAAGGAAGTGGTGGGAAATCTCCTAGACAGCAATAGAAACCGCACAAGTGTTCTAACCCTTCCCCAAAAATACATTTTTGACTTGACATATACACCAAGTACAACGATACTGACTGATCACATGATGGAGTCAACATACGTGACTTTGTATTATTATCATACATGTTTGTTGATAAAGAAAAAATGATAGATAGATACACGTGTATCTCTTGCACTTCCTGTTGAAGCAGCAGCACTGATTGCTGTTCGTTTCTGCACTCAGAAGCTTCTCCCACATCAGATGATGGGATCTGTTCTCCTTAGCACAGGCCTGGCTCTACCTCAGAAAGGACAACAGTCACCCCCTAGCAAATGATGACATACTGTACATATATTTTTTAAAGCTTTAACAATCAAGATTTGTTTTTCTTTTTTTTTTCTTTTACAGACTCCCGAAGTATATGTAAATCATAACGATTAACGCTTAGCGTGTTAAATATACCACTGAAAGTGTTTTGTTGAAATACAAAAAAACAACAACTTCTGATCAGAGATTAAGTGAGCTGATCAGTTCCTGTGCTTTCTGCAGAGTTATTTCAGGCCTTGTTCACACCAGACACAGATTCTGGCCGGAACGCACTGCATTGCGGGCGGCTCACTATGTTGTGGGGCAGGAGGGGGCTGCACGGGAGCGCAAGGCACATCAATGCCTGTGGCCGGTCCAGTCCAAACAAAATAGTGTCTGCAGCCTTTTGTTGGAACCGGACAGCAGGCATTGCTGTAACTTGCATTCCCGCGCGGCCGATTGCATTGCAGCTGGAGTGCGTGGCTAGGGTGTCATTCATTTCAATGGCCCGCCACGCCCCCTCCTGCCCCACAACATAGTGAGCCGGCCACAATGCAGTGCAGTGCGTTCTGCTCTGAATTGGGACGGAAAGCACTGTGTCTGGTGTGAACGAGGCCTCAAGCAAAGTTATCAGCCCTGCCCAGTTCACCTCCCTCATGTTATAGAGATGCACAGAGGGGTGGGACCTGTGTCACTCAATGGATATTCCAGCAAGCACAAAACTCCTATTTGGTTTCTCTTCCACTGAGGGACACAGGAACTCTTTAGCTAATGGGACGTCCAACACCAGTCCAACTGAGGGCAGGAAAACACAGCAAAGATACGCTACGCAGAGGCTGAGAGCCAGACTCGCACAGCCCAAACCACATTCAATGGAGGGAAATTTCCTTTTGGTGAACTGGAGTCGGATGGAAGGATGATGACCTGGCTGAGGTGAGGAGCAAAAACTACCTTAGGCAAGAAGGAATTTATGGGCCTCAACACCACTTTGTTCCTATGTAAAACCAAAAACGGTTCTTTACAGGAGAAGGCTACCAGCTCAGACACCCCGAGGTGACAACTACAGCAAAAACGACTTTCTCAGAAATGTCTCCAATGTGTTTACATGGAAGTTTCTGGAGTGCGGAAAGAACCAGATTCAGGTCCCATGGGGTCACTGGGCAATGGATAAGGGAGCTACATGGGACAGCCCCTGTATAAAGGAGTGAAACAGGAGAGAAAGAACAGAAAGCTGAACCTTGATAATGCTGAGAGGCAGATCCTGAGACCCAGCTGCAGGAAAGCGTATTTGTCCCACAGAGAAAATGAAGTGGAAGTGGAGACACCAAATGAAATAAACCTTCCACGTCTGATGATAGACCTTACAGGAAGCAGACTTCCTAGCTTAAAGCATCATAGGCAGGGGTGCGCAATTCCCATCACTCAACGCCTGGGAGATGCAGTTCCAGGTGCTGCGGGCAAGCAAGTCTAAATGTAGGGCAGGGGAGTCACCGCTCGTTCTGCACAAGTGATCTGGGCGACTGATCGCTGTATATCTGCAGTGTGACATCACCTAAGGCACTGCTGCCTTTGACTGCTAGTGTGCTGATGAGTCTTCTCTCCTTGGTGGACAGAAAGCTGTATCTGAGGGGAGCTGCAGTGCAAGGACCCCCGGCTTCTACTTTATTCTGTAAATCTGTGCTTCCGTCACCTCTCCTCACCTCCCCTGCCTCTCCACATCCCTAGATTACCAGTCAACAAGGGGTTTGCTGTGACATGAGGAGATTACAGCCAAGTGACTAGTCCTTTGCCTCTGCTTGCCTTTTTGGGAACAGCTTCTACAGTTCAGGTATTCTTTAAGGCCACTCGCATTTCTGACATACAGGAGGCAGATCTGCATGAATTATGTGGCAATACAGTTTTTAGCTATTCCAACCAACATGGCTCTTTAGAGATTCTGGTGACCACACACACAACAACTCTTTGTTCCAGACTAGTTTCAAACAGTTCAAATGACCATAAGGAACGTTAATATTGTAAGATCGCATTAAAGTGAACCTTTACACTCAAAAATCACATTCTACCAATGCATCCCTCTATGTATGATGATGATGATGAAAAATAACAGACTTGTCAGGTGTAAAATGCTGTGATTATGAAATACTTTCACTTGCAGAGCATTCACTTCCTGCTTTCAAAGAGCAAAATGACTTCAGTTTGCCAAAGCAATGCACACTAGGAATGCCTTGTCATCAGCAGAGCATTGCTGGGAAATCTCATAAAAAGGCATTTTCCTCCCCTGAGATGATGTGCGTGGTCACATGTCCTAGTCACATGTGCCAGAAATCCAGGAAGTAGGAGAGCTACTAATCTACCCTTAGCAAATCTACCCTTAGTAAACATGGCCACTGTCAGAAGACTGGGGAAGGAAAGAGAAATAAGGAAGGCAAAGAATACAAAGCCGGCAATTATCTAGAAGTATGTGTGTGTAGGTTGTCATCCCTAAACATTTCTAAAGGTCAGTTTGTTGTTATTTTACAGATCTGGGTAAAGGTCCGCTTTAACTAGAGCTGCAACAACTAATCGATGATTGAAAAAGTTGTCAACGTTTTCAATCATCGATTAATCGGCTTTCGATTAGTTTGCCCTGTTCACAGCTCTACACACGCCGCACCTCCTCCCTGCCTCACGCTCACCGCCCGCCCACATCCGCGATCGGCACAGGGACGCGGGGAGAAGAAGAAGAAGTAAGGAGGAGCAGGCGTGGGGGGATGACAGCTGCCAACAGACAGGCCCAATCTCAGCAGCAAGTTGCTGGAAGACTGCTCAGGTAAGCCTGCACTTTCCCACACATGGTGATCTATAATGTATTGCTGGGATTTGTATTACTCTATAGCTGATTGTACATTGCGCTGTATATGTACCATCAGCTATAGAGGAATACAGATTCCAGCAATACATTATACACTGTATGTATAATGTATTGCTGGGATTTGTTGTATTCCTTTATAGCTGGTGGTATTCTGCATTGCGCTGTATAGAGGACTACAAATCCCAGCAATACAGCGCAATGCAGAATACCACCAGCTATAGAGGAGTACAAAACCCAGCAATAGTACATTATACAGCGCAATGCAGAATACCGCCAGCTATAATGTACTATTGCTGGGATTTGTAGTGCTCTATAGCCGGTGGCATTCTGCATTGATTGCTGTATAATTTGACACTTTCCATTTCACTATACAAACTAGTAGTCCATCGCTGGAGTCATTTTTTAAAATCCCAATTAACCGGTTAATCGAGCGTAATAATCGGCTAACTAACCGATTTTGAAAATAATTGTTAGCTGCAGCTCTAGCTTTAACACATCTGAAACCTAACATACAAGATACATTTTTTAAAATATTATTTTAGACCATAAAGGCCATTCAAAAAACACTGTCCAGCTATCTACAGGAGACATTTCACAAATCAGGTATCAGGTTCCTTTATAAAACAAAATACAACATTGGAACCTGACCACAACGACTGAACAAACCGTATCGCTGGCTTTGGCTGTAAGCTGTAAGCTTAATGCTAAGTAACTTTGTGCCATCTTCACCAGTGCAGCCAGTTACAGTGATGACTAGTGGGATGTAATATGCTGAGTACAGGGGGTTACAGATTAGAAGAAAGAAGCTGATTGCAAATGTCACCAGCAGTGGAAGTGATGAAAAGCTCATTATGTGCAGTAGACATTACTATAACACAGGGAGTGCTGCAGTGGACATCTCACAAAGCATACTTCATATTTGCCTGAATCCATAGGCCAGCCGCTCTTAATGTTTTTCCTCTGCAGGAACCCTGGAAATAATTTTCATGTCAATGAGACCTCTGCTTAAAATGATTAAAATCTATGACTAACAGTACATGAGCAACAGTTCATTTTACATTAAGTACAAAAAAAACACCCCACACTATACAACATTAATTACAGTAATAATTGTAGTGTTTCCTTGCAGTGGTGGTCAGTGGAGAAGTGGCCCTTTACATTAGTGGTTAGTTAAGAAATGCCTCTTACATTGGTGGTCAGTTGAGCATTGTCCCCTTACATTGATGGTTAGTGGTGAAGTGCTCCCTTACATTCGCGGTCAGTTGAGTATTGTCCCCTTACATTGATGGTTAGTGGTGAAGTGCTCCCTTACATTCGTGGTCAGATGTGAAGTGCCCCCTTCACATTGGCAGTCAGTGGGGAAGTCCTTCTTACACTGGCAGTCTGTAAAGTAGTGCCCCTTTATATCGGTGATCAGTTGAGAAGTGCCCCCTTACACTGTCAGTAGTGAAGTGCCCCTTACATTATTGGTCAGTGGTAAAGTGCTCCCTTACAACAGTGGTCAGTTTAGAAGTGCCCCTTTACACTGGTAGTCAAGTTTGATGTGCCCCCTTACATTCGTAGTCAGTGGAGAAGTACCCACTTACAGCAGTGGTCAGATGAAAAGTGCCCCTTTACAAAAGGTATTTAATGGAGAAATGTTCCCCTACATTGGTAGTCAGCCGCGAAGTGCCCCCTTACATTGGTAGTCAGCCGCGAAGTGCCCCCTTACATTGGTAGTCAGCCGCGAAGTGCCCCCTTACATTGGTAGTCAGCCGCGAAGTGCCCCCTTACATTGGTAGTCAGTGGTGAAATGCCCCCTTACATTGGTAGTCAGTGGCGAAGTGCCCCCTTACATTGGTAGTCAGCGGTGAAGTGCCCCCTTACATTGAACAGTGCAGCCTCTTATCACATGACTCTGTGCAGCCTTCCTCTCTCGGCATTAGGGTCCCAGAACCAGGGAACTTTTGTCCTAAATTTCTACAGGCAGTCGTGAGTCAGGGTGATCAAAAGAATTTAAAAAAAAGGATACTGGCAACCATTTGGAGCTGGTGATGGCACAGC